CGCGGCATCTCGTTAGTTCGAAAGTCACCGTCAAAGTCAATTTCATTCAATTCAAAAAAGTTATTTATGCAAAGCTTAACCGACCTAAACAGACCTATACAGCGCATTTCAGACTTAGGGAATCAAACAGCTTAGCACTTATGGGTAATAGGTTGTCTTGTTGTCATTCTAAATTTGCTACTCCAATTTAATCGGAAGGAATTTACGACAGTGTATGATTTTCATTAAAACTTAGATTTTAAATCCGCTGGACTAAAGTAACATAGGTGTTAGAAAACATAATAGGAAAAAATAACATTTATGCTTGCCGAAAAAAAGGAAATATTATAGAAAAATTAAACAATATTCATTATTATATTTGAAAAGAAAATTATTAAAAAAATATGTCGATTTTTCTAGTAATTTTTTTTTCATCATTATTCATTCATCATGCATTAAAAAAGTGTTTCCCTACTACCAGCTCCAGTAGGTTCATGCTTCCTTTTAATTTCAGCAAGGATGATTATCTCATCCAAGAAAACAAATAATAAACAAACTTAATTACTGAAACTACTTTGAAAACGCAGTCTGAAATACTTTTAAAGCGTATCAAATTAGAATAGTGGGTTGCCCCACCACATTTGCCCCCACTCCCTCCCACCAAACCCTACATGTTTGCAATTCCGTTGCTGTCATTCTCGTTCACGTTTATTTCAACCACGACTTCCTGAAAGCTTTTAGTGCCGCATATTAATGAATTTGCGAACATGTCGGCCCGGTTCCTTCCCCCTGAATGCTGCCCTTCGTTTACGGCGAGTGCAAAACGTTAGTTTACAGCAACTAATTCAAGTTTTGTTAAGGACTTGATGGATGGACTTAGATGGTAACGCCGACGACCCCGTTCTTGGTTGAAACTTGAAGACTTTCACGAAACTAAACCGCAACTAGAGAAGTCGTTCCCGAAATTTGATTTGTTAATATCAGTAGGTCTTACAGAAGACGTATTATTAATTAAGGGTATTAAGTTGAATGAATAAATGCTTTACTAGGTAGGTTTGGCAATTTTGGTTTTCGGGTTTTTGGAGTCTCTATCGAATTAAACATCAAATATTTTATTACAGTTCTCTACTCCATGTTTGTGTGTAATTATTTTTGCAAAAATTTTGATTTCAGTTCACAAGGGCCGTGTGTACTCGATTTCTCCATAAACAAATGTAGCACACGTTATACAACTCACAAAAAGGATCAAATCTTTGTTGTTGAGAAAGACAATTAAAATTCATTCAAAATTATGTAGGGTAATGGTACATCCAAGTATACCATTATTCCACTTAGAATAACTGCAATAGCCGTAGTATGCCATTTAAAAATAACTGCTTAGTTTTTAAACTTTTAAAGCTTCAAACTTGCATTTAAAAATATTTCAATTCAATTCAATGAAGTTGCGATTGATCTCTTTATAATATATGGACACTGTGACAAAATTGTGGTGACAGCATGCATGAAATGCAACAAAATATTTACCCATTTGCGAAAAATGAGTTGAAGAAAATCGGTTAGAAGCAAAATAAGTTAATCACTTACGGTTCAAATCCCAAAATATTCTCGCCAATCACAATCTGTATCTTTTTAAATTTACCAATTCCTGAAACAAAATGATTACATACTATTACCAGTTTTAATTAAGTTCGACTGTTTGGCATCGAAAGAAATTTGTAACCGATACATCGAGCTCCTCAAAATATCCATCCGCAGCACTAATAACTTCCTCGTCCATCAGGCCAATTTTTGAGATTATTGAAAAGAGTGAAGTCGAGTGAAAGGACGAACAAACAATTTGAACTTTAATTCGTGAATTTTAGCGAAACAATGTTGTCGCTTTCTCTTTATTTCTTTGCTCAATCTTACCTTCTTTGGTTCACTGGTTACTCTCCACTGTGTGACTATTTTATTCTAAATACTGTAGTGCTTGCTTCATGTGCAAAATATAATTTAAAATATTGCCAACGCACTCTTTTGAAATCTGAACCGTCTTCCAGCACTATTTTGTGCCATTTCACTTTTCGCGGGACGTGGCTCAGCACAGGTGCCCGGGCGACTTTTTTAAATTAAGAAACTCATATTTTAACCATTGAATATGATGGGGAATAGCCCTTCAGTGTATTATCGATATACGATAGAGTGAGTTATACAATTTTTTTTATGGAGCCGAACATCTCTATGGTAATTTTAATTTTTTTTGTATATTAATCTAAAATATTCAACATATCAATTTTAAATTGAATGCTAAAATTGGTCGTAAATTAGGAATCTCGTTGCAACATTAAAAATTTTCATTTTTAAATTGAAGTTTAAAGTTATGCCGAATTATATATTTATATCTCGATCTCAAGTACATTTCTATTTTATATCTAATATCTATCACAGCTTGGGAGTCAAACGGCAGCTTTAGTAACGGGTTGAGAGCGATTCGATGTTTTCAGTCGATTTATGAAATACTAATGGTATTTAATGGCGGTCCTGCATCATATGGTGGAATCCTGGGGAACTCCATAATCTAATTACATATCGTCTTCTTCTTGAACACTTATAGAGGTATAGCTTTTTTGTAAGCTCATATTAAGGGCATCTTCATGGATAACTCCGTCTATTAAAAACCAACCAATAAACTGCAATGATTCTTAACCAACTACGAACCGTATATCACTTTCGTAAATGGAAACAAACCAAATCATACGAAATGAGAAATTGTCAACACAAAATGTATTTGCCTGTATGGCCATTTAATTAACAAAGCTCTTAAAATTCACCGCCGCGAGCGCACAAATAAACAAAATGCCCCAACCGTACGAATGAGAACAAGTGAAACTGGTCAGGTCCGTGCTTGTTATTGTACAAGATAAAACATTAAATATATAAGTACTTATTTATAGTATAGACAAAGCAAATGAATTAGACACTTTCAATACCCCATTTGATAAAATTTGTAGGTGTTTTACGAAATGTAATAAGCGCATCAAAGGAACTTCTGAAGCTCAGCATAGCGTCATTTTAAATTCAATTTGGTTTACGTAGCACTTTTTGAATGAAACTCGTTCATTTAAATAAGAGCACGCTCCTACGCAAAATTGCCAACAATTTTGCCCTGCATGTAAAAACTATCATATCAGAGATGCAGGTAGGTGTCACGTAAGACCGTAAAATGATTTTGTGCACTGGTTTGGTGTAAGGGAAATGGAGAGCCGTAAATCTTTAAAAGGGAAATTTTCTGCAAAATTCAAAAAAGTACACGGGTTATTTTAACATCTTTTCCTGACTGGCTGATCTTGTATAGTTTTGGTTAGTTTTCGTGTGTCAAAATTCCACTTTTGGTCTAGAAATCTGGCAAATCTGCACGATTCCAAAAAGATCTTAGCAAGATCATGGTAAAAGAAACATGAAATAACTTAAGCACATTTAAACCTACTTACTTAGTTGCTTAGTTACTTACTTACTTACTTAGTTACTTAGTTACTTAATTACTTACTTACTTAATTACTTACTTACTTAATTACTTACTACTTAAAAACTAAAGCTTACAATCGGGATATGAATGCAGCTTTTTTGAATCCCGAAAGAAAAATGAAAAAATTTGATTTCAGTTTTTGCACCATCACGTCCAAAGGTTACTGATTTTTATAACACCGACAATGCCCAACTGGAATCCATCCTGCTACTGCAGTTTTTCTTTCTAAGAATATGTTTTCCAATTTTCTGCGAACTTCAACTCTTTGAAAATCGTATAGCAGACCAGTAAATTAGTCATTAGTTCTTAATTCTTAAGTTTAACGCTTCAATGTTTAATTCAGCTTGGAGATGTACATAGAATATCGGCCAATTGTTCCTATATTTTGACAATAATATTAGTTCTATAAAATTCTGCAATACCCAGACAATTGTGCACCTCTTATGATAATGGCTCAACTGTTACGGCCCAAACGATTGTATTATGGAACTTGAAACTTACGCTTGTGATGATGAACCGTGGATGGCACAGCATATTGTTTAAAGATATATGTTATATGTTTATTAGACTGCGAAAATGGCATCAGGGCGAAGTTGTGTGCTTAAAAAGGCAAAGTGTTGTCTTTATTTAATGAATAATCGCTTTCTATTGGTCAGGGAATTTGTTGTAAAATAAAAGACATTGGCAACAAATTCGTCATAACCAATACCATGTATATAACATTTTTGAATCATTTTACTTGGTAGAAATCCTAACGATAGTCCTATTATAATTATATTCTCTATTAAAACATATTACGGAAAAATTGCATTAATTAAAAATTAAAATAAAATAAACTCGAAAAAAATAACTCGCATGATAAATAACACGTCCAATAGGTATATAAGATTAATGAAACATATGACAAAAATACATCCCCGGTTCGCTACTGCATCATGAACATAAAAATCCTTTCTAAAATACACAATCCGCTATCCAAAATCCACAACGTTATAAGTTGCATAAATTGATTGCTAGGACGGATACATTAGACATGAACCTTAATCAACTATGTAGCAAGGTAAGTAGGGCTACGATTTTTGTGCAACTTGACGATTAAGCAGCCAATCCATCTCCGATGTAGACTTACTCAGCCAAAGATGGCAAATCTACCAAAAACATGAACATACTTACTAATACCGTCAGAAAATCTTACACAAAAAATGTATCTCTGTCTCAGTGCTGACCAGTGTACGACACCACAGGGACCAGACTATCACACAATCTAAACTTAACAAACCCGAATTATTCAGGAAGTCCACAGAATGTAATAAGAAAACTAAAAGATCCAAAATACTTCCCGTTTGTGAGGTATTTTATTTGAAAAAAAATTAAAACCAACAAAGATTATGAAATTATTATTTAAGCAGCTTTCACCCCCTTTGATCCCATTTTTTTTTCTTCCTTTTGTAAGCATATAATTATTTTATTTATTGTGCATTGACTTAGAGAATAAAATTAAGGTTTTTGTTTGTAGGTATGTTTCATCCAGCCTCTGCGGTGAGTACTACTGTCCAACACCCGACTGGTTGATCGGAATGCTCTTCTGGGTGGGGTACTTCAATTCCGCCCTGAACCCTCTAATCTACGCCTATTTCAATCGGGACTTCCGGGAAGCCTTTAAGGATACGTTACTCTGCGCTTTGCCATGCTGCTTCGGTTGCTGGAAAACTCAAGCCCGATATCTCTAGCCACAGGATTATTCCCCGGGATACCGGGACGAACGGCTGTGATAATATTAATGTCGACGGTGGTAGGATAATCAGTCTGGGACCCGGGTGAACGCAACTGGTAATAATCGTGCGTTCATTTTCAACTATTCAAAAATTCATTGTTAAAACGCATTCAAATCGATATTTTACCCTTTGGCGTTCATTTCTAAACGGTGTTATTTTTGTTGTGCTCGCATGAAAATCTCTTGAATAACACTCATTTAGTTCAAAGCAAACTGAAACTACTTATTAGCTTATTAATGGCCGTCGAGCAATATAGAGCCAATTTTATTTTTTAAGGTAGCCGTGACCCTATGCAGGATTAATGACACAAATCATTCCAAACTTCTGACAAGCACTCGCAAACACAAATTAGGATCAATTTTCAGAAAAGTAACAAAGATATTTATAGAAAGATTCTTGTATATGAAGTCTCATGCGATGCGTTCTTGTAAGGGCTTATTGGATTGCATAATTTTTAACACACAGGACACTTTATTTTTTCTCACATTTCAACTAGATGACAAGCTTTTTTTGTATTTTAACAAAATTTCAGAATATTGATACGGTTCGAGTTTGGGTTCTAGGTTCGGACACAAGTGCGGTTCATGATTTCTGAAACTGTCAAGTTTACATAAAGTCTTTGTGATGAACTTTAATACTGGGTACCTCACATTAGCATCTTCGATTTGGAAAAATACCGTTATTTTAACTAGTTATTAGAATAACATTAGTATTCCCATTCCACGTAGTTGACTATTGTTACATCATTTACTATACCCAATAATTCATATTTGCTTTAGTTTTATTTTTAATTTAAAAAATATTTCATTGGTCATAAAATTGCAATAGCGAAAAGTAATATTATTCGAACCGATATTAAATTCGCTGCTTGATGCTGCTTAGATTTTGATATAAACGTTTTTTGAGCGCCTTAATAGCAGTGAGCTTTAACAATGATTACCATCATTACTATCATTACTAACCAAAACTTATATCTTGTATGAAATCATCAAATATGAATTTATTTAGAAAAACTTCAGATGAAAATCAGATTGGTGTTAACTTTCCTAAGAAGTCAGATTGGTGCATAAACAAACCACTAGAACAACCACTAAGTTTTGATTTGCGTGAATAAGCGTGTACACCATTAGGAATAGAGAAATTGCGGTTGCGGCCATTTTATTATTTCCTTATTTCATTTTAATTTATTACAAGAAAATAAGTTCTTTCGTTAAGGAACAATCTACGTCTATCTACAATATATTTGGCGAACATTTTTTCCTATAAAAACGTATTTTCGTCACTCAATAAAATATTCCCACCATAATGGGACGCCAAAGCTCAAATTTCGTGAAGTTCTGGTTGCGTGGGCGTTTGGGTTTCGGACTGTTTTGGTAATAGGTATAGTTTAATTGAACATAACTTCGTCATTACGCGGATCTTTGTGCTTAGTTATTAAATTAGGGATAAGGAAGATATGTTTTGTACGTAATTAATTGTGATATTAAGATATTTTTTAAAATTAATAATAATTCCAACAAATCCTCCATTGAATTTAGGATTGCTGATCCGCATATCTTTCGGTTTTTATGACGAATTTGGAAAATAACTTACCTTGGTAAATGAGGTGTTTCCAATGACGAAAATTAAAATAAACGGATTACTTTTGCAACAATACTTAACGCATAAATATATACAAAATATTTTACTAGTTCGCTCGATGACAAGAAATAATTCAAAACTATGATTGAAGATCAGATTGAATCTAGGTTTAAAATGTATGCAAAAAGTACGGAAAGACTTGCAAAGACATCTTTTAAAAAATTTATGTAACTATTTATTTACATAAAATGGATGAATTTTAATCTGTATAATTTGCCTTTGTTTCTTTTAGAAATTTTGTATGTTCCAGGATCAAATTTTTCAAAATTTGTAATGGTGTTCTATATTAAACAATTTTTGAAAACTACATGCAATGGTACTAATTGTCTAATTCAAATAATGACTAAATTGGTTAAGAATTACATACGTTAATGTCAAAATTGTTTAGGTTTTGTGCAGGTTTGTAATTGTACAGCTTTTTGTATTTATACCTTTTTTTTGTGGGTTGTTCTTCTCTAGGTTTAATGCTCAAAACCAAGTACGCAAAAAAATGATTCGTTATAAAAAAAAACCTAGCCAGTGTATGTAGACTTCAGTAACTGATTAAATGCATTCGTTCCATTTGATAGAAATGCTCAAGAGGTACAGCACTATTGTGATCTGGAGTCATATTCCTAGAGATTTTTTGAAATGTCGTAAGTTCTTTCTGGGATATTTTACAATTCATATCAGATTATTTGAAATCTCCTTATAAAACCTACCAAAAATGACTCTAGGGCGTTTTTTACAATCATGTGAGGTTGTTCAGATTGTTAAATAAATAAATACAATAGCTCAAACCACTTCCATACCTTCCACATAAAATTCGTTCTACCGCCAAACGAGCAGGAACGGAAAACCGTTTATAATATTTTTCTTTTCTCTTGTTCAGTCAGTCGAGTCAATATGATCATTAGGACTTTTCATGGAATACTTAATCGTATGCCATTTGAGTGTCACATCCCGAAAATTGGTTCAACGAAGTAACATTGTTAAAGTTAAATTAATCTGTTGTTTCATTTCGTGTGATCAGTAAAGGAAACTTAAGATTGGCAATTCGCTTTAGCTCAATATACCAAAACCAACAAATTTTTTACGCTATTCCAGTTCCAGTTCCAATTGTAATTGTTCTAGCATTTACGAACGGACAAATCTAAATCCACGTGATAACTACTGACTTATCAGATTGCGATTTTATACACATGTTCTGTAGCGCATCTCTCTTTTGTGTTCTGCCTCCATCATGCCAATATCATTTGTTGAAACCACTTTCCCACATAGTATTGCCAAATGACGCGTCTAGTATGTTTATACAAGTCGCAAGCATAAAGCATTCACTTTAGCTGTGTGTCGAACTGCCTGTGCAACTGATTATAAGCCTAAAATTGCTTTACTACGACAAATACGTTGCCGAAATATCCCTGATAAATAAAAGATGTGAGATGGCAAGTATTACGTCCAATATTACATCCAAAACTATTTGAGGAATTTTGCAATTCGGTTCGAACGGCACCGTTCGGATGATTGAAATGCCAATAGGCGTCATATTTCAAACTTTATTCAACTAACAAAAGTTGCGCTCTGGCTTTTCATTTTCAAAAATGCGGATAACTAACTGCATTTGTTTCGTTCGGAACGCGAGTCCGCTGGTCGCTTAAAAACTGAAATTGCACCTGTCGGGAAAAATGTACGCCATAAATTTATCTTCGCGAACGTTATTTCCCAGTATCCCTTTGTGTATTCCTCCATGTTGACATTTATTCTTCGCAACACAATAAATTATGCGAATTTATAGCAGCGAAACGGATGTTATTCGTTTCTCGCGGTGCAAACTGTCATTGTACTGTCGTTAATGTGAAAATGCGGCAAATCTCCTCACCCGACCGTGCTGATTAAATATTAGTATATAATCCTGGTAGTCACATTTGAAATAGGATTGTTTGGGTAACCACCAAAGATACGTATTCAGTTCCAGTGGTTTAGATGAATGTTGCCCTGAAGCTACCAAAATTATTGGGCCAGAGATGGAAATATTTTTGAAAAATCAAATAATTGTTATAAAAAAACGTTATACAAAAGTTTAAAATGAGTTTCTTTAAAGTTCACTTATTTTGCCCATAGGGTGTAGACAATTTTCCTGAAGTTGCTTGGAAGGAAATAATAAAATTAAAAAAATTGTTTTCATACAATATTTTTTAGCTTACCTTTGCATCTAAATAAAAAGTGACCTAAGAACACAATATTCTTTGAAACAAACTTTCTTTAGCAAAAATATATAAAGTACAACTATGAGCTATTATAGGCAACTAAGACCAAATATCTAGTTAATATAAAAGCATTAATGAAAAATCTTTGTATTAAATTGATAGGTTGCATACATACTATCTAGATTCTAAACCATTTGATTTAAAAACAACTCAAGTAACCAAATCAGTAGTATCATACACAAATTTTACAACCACCGCCTGACAAGAAAAAAAATTCTTGTCATTGTATTTCAAAACCCCAACGACTCATTATTAGGTAAAATAAAATTGGTGGTTTTAAAGATCAGTGAAATATAGTATTTGGTTAAAAATGCTTTCGAATCACATGCTGGTGGCCTGGTGTCTTGGAACTTAACATTATTGCTTGGGCCTCTTTCTTGCATTTGAAAAAAGCAGATCTAATAAAAAATGTCAATAATCACAATCTATCTACATTAAAAGATCCGGTCACTTAAAATGAAAATTACTTAGCGTTTTCAAAAACACAAAGTAAATGTTACAATATTTTATTTTTCTAGTTAAGAGTTCTTATCTGAATAAAAATACAAAAAATATAGTTACGCGCTCTTCTCACTAAGACGACGATATGCAATTTTAGCAATGTTTATCAAATAGCTATTCCAAAAGAATAACAAAACACCACTACTCTTATTTCTACGATAGTAAATAATATCCTTTACCCAAAATACCATTTGGATTTGAATTTTGAGTCAAGTTTGGTCTGAGTTTGTTCAGTAATAACACAATTCAAAGCCAGAAACTAGAGGTGAACACTGCAAGCGAATAAGCTAAAGTATAATATAGCTATATATTTTGCTCAATGCCATCAATTTGCATCCCAAATGTTTCATTGCTCTGCGTCCGTACGTAGGTACATAGGCACAACACCACAGCCACCACTGCAAACCGCTAACCGTTATTTGCCAAATTCTGTCATCATTGGTCACGATTTGCGTGGTCTTCCCCAAAATTTCGTGTTTTAAGTGTCGCCATAATTTATACGTTTTATGGATAAATTATGATCTCATTTAGAATATATATATACGGACGCTATGTATATAGTTATTTACGCTCATTCACTAGCAAATCGAATGCGCATTTTCGTATAGATTTTTTAACGAAAAATTTTTCTGCCCGTACGTGTATTTAAGAAATGCCCTTTTCATAAATTATTTTGTAAAACTATTTAACGTTACCCAAAGCAATAAGGAAAGACTTGTTTTGTATTTCCGTAAACCGAAACATCGCGTTTCAAAAACAGAAAACTATTGTTGAGTTTTGTTTAGACTAAAATGTTCCAGTACGTTCTTTTATAATGAGTATTAAATGCAATTCGACTGATTAGGAGGTCGATATTCAATCTAATGATACAAAACTGAAGGTCCATGTATAAGTTCATCAAAATAGGAACTCTACATGTTGAATACTGCAGTAGTGTAAAGGGGTAAAAGATCAAATAGTGAGTTTAAAATTTAAAAAAAAATAGCAACACTACAGCAAAACTATAGACGTCTCGCCACTTAACAGTCTTAATTCTTTTTTCGAATGTATGCTCTATGCTTACCTATCCTATATACTGGAGCGGTCGTTTTTAGATAACCACCACAAGGTGTTTATTACTACCCTTGCGTACGAGTATTCCATCAGTGTTGCGCTGATCCAAGTATATCTCGAATGGTTTGGTGAAAGTACAGTTATAGTAGGTTTTTCTTTCTCATTTTAAGCAGATTCCAGTCAAAATCGGCTTCTCCGACTCATATCGTACCTAAAACTGCATCAAAACTGCAAATATCAGCTATCATTTTTTGATCCAATTCATGTCAATATCTTCCAAATACTAGCCAAAATCGGCGTCTTCGTTCATTAGAGTAACGCAAACCTTTATAAACTATTAGATATCGATGAAAAACTCTCATTCTGAGTCGAATTGTACCGAAATCTACATCTTTGTGCGTGTGTCGAGTACTTGTGTGCATGTTGTAGGTCTGTGTCTGTGTGTGCGAGTGTCTCGCATATTTGTTGTTCAAATGTCAGCTTTCGCAGTTTGTATATATTCGTCATAGAAGCAAATACTCGATTGGCCTCTTCGATCCTTCCCTTCTTCGCATCTTCTTTACTTTCGGAACTCTGTTTCCGAATAGATGCTAAAGATGATACGATAGGAACTGTCTGACGCTTTTTCGAATTTCTATTACGTCTCCCATTTTGTTCCAGTGTAGCCTACTAGTGATAATGCGTAGATGTCTCGGATCTAGACCAGCGGAGCTGCCTCTCACACATGGGAAACATACGAGTATGGATAATGTGGAAAAACATCTATCTGATGCTGTACTAGTATTCGGATTTAAAAGTTTTTGATTTTTTCGGTAATGTAACAAAAGTCTGGTAGATTTCCAGCTTTATATGCAGAGCTGTAAAAATCTGTAGAAGGCTCTTTAAACCCTTGACATCTGCGTTGACGATCAGTTTAAGTGTTTCCGCATGTATGTTAAGGTTTTCTTGCTTTTCTGGGGCTTGATAGCACGTCTCACTTTTTCTTTTTTTGAAAAGTTTGAAATTTCCCCTTTTTTATGCTTCCTTAAATTACTTCAATATCAACAACACAACCTATGAAAATATAAATTTTCAGGTTATTCGAAAGTACGCAAGCATTTGTTAGCTTGTGTACGATTGCTGCTGCTCTTTCTTTCTTACAATGTCGTTAGTCGTATGTATGACCTGATAATTTTCTTAAAAACTCACTTTGTTTTTTTATTTTCTATTTATAATTGTTTATTTTACTTTTTACAAAACTTCTGAATTCCTCCTGCGTCAGTTTTTGCTTAGTCGAAATTGCTGACGTTTCGCCAATCATCCTGTTGGCTTCTTCAAAGCTTGACTGAAACTGGCTCGTATTTTACTCTGTACCTGCTTATATACTGTTGGAGGGGGGCGCTAATTAGGGGCATAAACACTGTCTCGGATGACTGATTCTCAAATTGCTGACAGATAGACTCTCGGATTTTTCGTTGGTAGAGGAACTGATTACTTGCAAGAATTTTAGTCTTATCGAATAACATTTTATGATCGGTTTCATGAGTGTGTTCGGCAACAGCTGATGAGTTTATTTGTCTTATTCGTAAGGGTCTTTCGTGTTCTTTGAGCCTAGTTGATATTTTTCGTCCGGTCTCTCCAATGTATTCTTTGCCGCATATGGATGGAATGCTGTAAACTCCTGGCATCTCAAATGGAGTGTTGTCTTTGACGGACCGAAGATGTTAAGAGATTTTTGGACAATTTCGACTCAGCAAAAACCGACGCAGGAGGAATCCACAAGTTTTGTAAAAAGTATTACAGTGGAAGTTTCTCTGAAAAGTTAATTGTTTATTTTATTATTATTATTTATTTTATTTCGTTTTCTTTTTCTTGGTAACTTTGATTAGATGATTGCTTGTTTTATTGTAAGCGTATTATTTGTTTAATATCATCTGTTGAATTAAAGTTGTTGTCCCAACTCAGTATGTGATCTGTTGACCTTAGGAAACAATTTTATCTTTTGCTCACGAACGTTAGGACAAAATCCATGGTCCTATATAACTTTCGATTTGTTGTTAGAAAAATACAAATTTGTTTTGCGACGTCAGAATGTTGTTTTCTGTTTTTGAAAGGAACAACATCGTTCACTTATTTCTGTGATAACTTACTTTTGTATGACGATTGTAACTCACTGTATCCATACTGTATATATACAATGTTGTTAGATGTACAACTTATATAATAAAAGGCTGTAAACATATATATGGATGCCGGATCCGTCATAATGAACACACCGATATACCTATATAAGGGACCGAGTTAATGATGGAAATGCTTAGAAAATGTCCCGATAATATTTATTCGGCTACATTTAAACCCTAAATTGATTTTTTTTAGTTTACTGAATAAAGTATTCTCTAAGGTGTCACTTGTTTACGAAAAGGTTTTAAAGCGATATTTGCTGATGTTCCTATTGAAATGATTTGAACTATCTACTATTTAGGTGTAAAAATCGATGTAATTATGCCTCACAATGGAGTACGTACTTCGACGCATGCGCGAGCCAATAATGGCAATAATAATATTGTAAATTTGACGTAAGTATAGGTTGTAAAATGAACTGGGAAATAATTTTGCCGTCGTCGGAAAGAAAAAAACTAAAATATAAAAAATTATATGTACCTATCAATTTTCAAACAACCAAATAAATTAACATAGTCTAACTAAAATCAAGTGGTTCAAATTCACCAATTCGCAAGGAAAATTTAAAAAAGCGAACTGTTCGCATACAGTAAAGTCAAATTTTGAATTGCAAAATTGGATGAATTTTCATGAAACTTTATTTCGTTTTTTTTTTTCATATTTACGAAAGTAATGAAATTGAACCACTCTGCATTTTGTCACTTTGATTTCGTTCATATGTTCAAGTTTAAGACCTTATCAAAGTCCTTGTACATTATATGACAATCTTAGGCCTATTGATAATGTTAAAGTTAAATTGTTGTTGTAATAGAAAACATTGTATATTAAAAATATACTTGTTTGTTAAACAATATTTGGCAATTTTCTGTTAACACCCATTGCTTGGTTATGTGATAGAGCAATGAATACTGAATAGAGCTCTTTTTTGAACTAATTTTCTATTCTTGGATACCAAGGCCGCCGTTTCCTAAAAATCGAAACTATTTTACATTAGTAAAACCCTTAAGGTGTAAATTTTAAATATTTAATAGAAATTATAACCAATTTGACTTCAGAAGCTCGAATGAGCAAAATACACTATAAATCAATCTGCTTAAGGCAATAACTGAACCTCAATGCGTTAAGCAAATATACTATTGGGGCTTACATGCATCAGTTGTGTGTATTAGTATAAGGGGCCCCTCGAGATTGAAATGTCTATAATTGTATAAGATACGTTTAATCGATACCTTCTAGATTTATTGGACCCTTGTTGAATCGAGAAATATAATTCAAGACGAAGCCAAATCTCTGATCAGATGTATTCTAGAATCAAATTTCATTCACAAGCCAATGCTCATGGGTTATCGTAAGATAACGGCATATATAATATGGGCAACTGAGAAAAGGACGTTTTTAGGTAGTTTATATTTTTAGAATATTTGCACCCTAATGATAAACACTATTTTATAACTACTGGACATCACACAAAATATAATAATTATATCTTTATATTTCCATGCCTCTATACCTATCTATCTGTCACTACTCATCACAACAGAAGCACCCGTTTAACTGGTGTGATATAAATAAATAAAAATTAAATTACGGCATTGTCTTATAGAAATGAATATTAAATTATATTTAAGAGTATTATCGATTAAATAACATTTGCATTTGGTTTTCAAAAATCGCATAGAAAGTTTTTTACATTTTCGTGTAGTATTCGAATCTAAATTAAAATTTTTCATTCCTAATTCCATTAAAATCATATATGAAAAAGTTTCCCTTGTTAGTTCTTTTGTAAGGTGTCTAATGAAGGTATTTTTAAATTTTCAAAGATTTAGCACTTTGTGCTCTAAATCTATTCGCTGCTTTCTGAAATTTTTCAAAAATACCCTCAATTTGTTAAGTTGTTTCTGTAAACTGGGTTTGTATTATCATATTTTGATATTCCAATTTTTATTAGCGTTACAAGCATTTTAATTTGTTGCTTTTCTATTTTTTTTAAATTTTTGTTTCAACGCTGCACAACATTTCACGTTCGTTTCGCTTTCCTCGACTAGACCGGTAGTATCCAGACTTGATTTGAAAGCGCCAGGCCTCACAGACTCCATTTCTTTCGAGTCCAGTTTTTGAGCCCCGTGGAAAACTGCCGTGAAGACAGATTGGTGCAAATATGGTGGCTTTGGACATCTAAATTCGTCCGCCTTCTGCGTTGCATCCTTAACTATGTCCTCAATGCTTTCAATGCTAACAGCGTCTTGTACAATGGTGACGTTGCCGCCCTCCTTTAGATGCCAACTAACGACACTTGTTCTTTTCTTGCCATATTCTTTTAACTGAACCTCGTCCCCCACGGGATCCGGTAATAACGTGGGCTCTTTGTCCTCTTCCTCTTTTTCAATTACCGCCATTTCGGCTGTTGGAGGTCTTTCAAGGTCTTCTGATATATCCGATTTGATTATTGAGTCTTCCCTCGCTTTGTAGGCTTGAAATTCTTCCATTTGAGCCAGTGCTGATAATTCGGTTTTAACGAGGGACACTGCCCTTATTGTGGGAATATCGTCATCAACCTGAGTAGAAACATCCACGTGTAAGTAATGGTACCTATGGTGGCCGATATTTCCTCCTACTTCTAGAAGGCACTTTTTGGCTAAAGGTTCGTAAATGTCACATATTTTTGCAGCCAACACACAGTCCTTTTTATAACAACATCGCTTTGCTTTGAGACTTTTTTCGAAAGAAGTATTTTGTTTGCATCTTGGTTTGTCGCAACAAGTACGTGATTTTTGCTCTGAACCGTTCGTCGAAACCACATTCATAACAATAATATGTTTAACTTTGCTGCATTTGCAGGCTAGTTAGTTACACTTTTAACAAATTTTCTATTAAATGCAAAGTAATTAAATGACATGTCTGTAATGTGTCAAAGACAAAAATATCTCCTAATTAAAGGTCACATTAGAACGGATTACCTGGATTCAGGACGTCATGGTCACAGATTTCCGGATTTTCACTCGAACTATCCTTACCGTATTCGATGCTTTTTCATCTTACAAAATGTACCAAACTAACCAACCAAACTGGCGCTGTCATTGGATATAATTGTAATTTTTAATCTGATAATTTTACTTTCCGATTTCTAAAAATGACTATTGCTTGTCCTGGTTCCTGTCAGCACATACAATCTTGGTTCTACTGATTTAGTAAAAAATGGTTTGTGTTTAGAGTCCAATGAGAGAGTTTATGAAGGCAATTACAATTCTTTTATAGATGTAAACATTAAAACCACATCTGCCAATTATTGTAAACTCATTAAATAATCTATTTTTCTATTCCCCTTTCAAAAAGACCTAATTAAGCACCGACGGAGCTTGCGGAAAGTGCCATTTTAGGACGCCAGTTTCTGCGAGCCACTTATCACTTCCCAAATAGCACAAGAACGTCCTTAAAACGTCCTCGATATAGTTGACGGGTCATAGCGTATATCCTATTGATATACCGTTTCAGCTAAGGGACATCCTTAAGACGTCTCAAGCATATAGTATGTAACTAATTTTAACGTCCACAGTATATCAGATTCGGATGTCCATAGGATATTTGGACGTTGGACATAGGATGTTATATAGATATACCAGTGGACCTCACTTGAATTTATTTCCAACAGCATATGAAAGCCACTGGAAAGGTAATGTCCAGTAGTCCAATAGGTTGTACTACTACAAAAATTCTATCCCAGTATTTGGTATTCGAGTGTGACGGTATTAACCTATTGAGTATGGTGGGTGAATTCATCACTGGAATAGCAGACGATATTTGAAATGCACATGTTTTCTCCAATTAATATTTAATAGTTGATTTTGCTTTTGATGGTAAAAGTGAAGGACTGCCGATTGATGCCATTAATAAAACACATTTTATACTCATTTTTTTTATTGTAGATTGTAGGTATATATATAGCAAAAATATAGAACAACCTAACCTAAAGTATCTTAAAAATAGTGTAAGATACTATATCTTGAACTAAACTCTAAAAGAATACCTAATATTTGACAGGTTTTCTATCAATCTTTGGTGAAAGTAGCTCAGCTCAGCCAAGCAGCTATTGAATTCTCACATTCTTTTGATGTTTGTGATGTGTTTGCCTTCATATCCGCATCTGAAAATATTTTAGTTTTGAGAAGGACAGCTTTTAGACAACTTTGTGAAAAAAATAAATAAAAAGAACGAGACTGGTATCTTATATGTTTAAAAAATAGATTTAAAAATCCCTACATCCGCATTTTAGGTAAAGGCTTGATTTAACGCTGATAGTACTTTCATGAAACTGATCATAGATGCTAATCTCCACGATGGTGTAGGTATACATTTATGTATTTCATTTCTTTAAATACAAACCTCATTAAATCCTCATCGGCCTGCAAAAAAAACTAGAACAAATATGAACTTTCAGTTTGACAGTAAAGGCCTATTTTCATGCAATAGTTTTTTGTCAACCTAAAACCTAGTTTTTTTGCTCGTCGGAGGGAGGGAGGGGTGATTCTTGCATCCATTTCAACACAAAAATATACTAAATATACTATATAACTAAAATAGCATATTATGCAGCAAGTGCGGTAAGCGGCATTTGACTCACGAGTTTATTTGACACAAGAGGAGCGAGTGTTTAATAAAAGAGTGAATTAAAAATTTACCGAACGTGTTGCATACTATAATTTTTCTACGACCGTTAGTTTTTGGGTACATTTTCGCAAAACAACACGAATAAATTCCCTGACATGAATGTGAGAGTTGTCAAAATTCAAAGCGTGGGAAATCCCTGCGATAAAATCCCGGAAATGTCCGAAGTGGCTCGGATTCATGGAAAACGAAACTGACTGAGATAAAGTGACGTTTCCCGCAAGCTAGACGGAAGTAGAAAAATATAATTTTGTTGTGGGGCATTTTCTCTAACATTGCTTACTTAAATAAAAAATTAGTATAGTTTTGTATGCCTAAATTTAAATACTCAAAAAATATGAAGAAAAAGTAGATTTTGTTTTTGGTTTCAAAAACTAAGCAATAAGATACGAAAAGAAGTCTAAAATCAAAACAGATATGTAATCTAAAACGTATTATATAAGTATATAGGTTACAAAAAAGTCAGTTGTATCTCAACTCGGTCCAGCAATCACTCCTTAAAAAAAGTATCCATTAAGCGATCACCATAATATATATTTTATTAAATTATATTATATTATACTTTATTTATATTACATTTACGTCCTATTTATTTTTAAAAAACATAATACCTACTTACCAAGTATTAATTTGGTCAATTTTAATTTTGATAATTTCTCCTTTTTCTTCAAGCTCATTCAATCAATCAGCGGGGTCAGAAGTTTTACAAACTCATAACATTAATAGCAAAGTAATAAAAAACAAGGCATGATGTTGGTAGACTAGACAACAATAATTGGTTCAGCTTAGAATTTATCAAATCTTATGTTACATTTTGCCATAAACAGTAACAGTAACCATAAACAGTACCCACAGCACACAAAATACTTATATCGCCAACAAAAACAAGGCTGAAAAGATGACGGACGACGAGACGGAGGGGAAGCTGACGAGACTCGAGCAAGTCCGACAAGGCACGACCGCGAGTAGTTGCGTCATCTTATAAACAAATGTATTATTTTTACGTTTTCGCATTTTTTTACTTTAATGATCCCTATTTTTCGTGGTATTTTTTATTAAAATAGCGTTTCTGGTCTCATTCGTGTCCAAAAATAATAAAAACAAATTGATTTTAACAGTTTGATTCCGGTTTTTTTTAGGACTTAGGACACTGACGTTGATGTAGATGTGCACAAAAACGTTGCCGACAAAATGTCCCTCAAAACACCACAAATCTAAAAAAACTAAGTATTGTCCTTTTCAGTTGTTCAAAATCATAAAGTATCAAAAAGTATATCCTAAGAATATCTTCCACACTCCATATATCCCGGGACATGTGACTTAAATGGGACATTGACCGGATATACTGGGGAAATTGGGTGCTACCTGATTTAGGGTTAGGACATTTCCGGAATACTAGCAACGGGTTTGGGAGCAATCGGATGTTTTCGCACATGTTACCCGCGGCTTGAATTTTGACGTTTGTCAATTCTGACGGTCACGTCACACGTCACTCAGTGAACGTAACGTGAGAACTATAATATGCAACACGTTTGATAAACTTTTCAAGTCACTCGTTTATCAACCTCTTGCTCCGGTGCGCTCTGCTGGTAACTCAAATGCCGTATATGGGACTTATTGCATAATAGATTATTCTTTTTGATCTGAACTTAACAAATAGATTAGAGATTCTCTATTTTCATTATACTAGTAAGATTCAAATAATTTTCACACGCTTTCAAATTTAAACTCGACCCACTAGCGCTATCTATACACGAAGAGCTTAGATATGATTATTGATTTTAGAAAATGCCTTCGCCAGCATTCTTTAGGTTTCGCAATGCCTTTAACAACCTAAATAGATATTCAGATTAAATTATTATTAGACGGCTAATCGGTGCTGTGAATATTTGAAACCTAATTTTTGGCGGCAATTTATTTGCAATGCAATGAGTCAATATAATGGAAGTTTACTATATATTTAGTCGTTTCTAAACCAGAAATAATTCTATTTCACAATAGATGTCGCCCAAGTTTAGTATATATTTAATTGTTTCTAAAGCAGAAATAATTATGTTTCGCGATAGATGTCATAGATGCATACTTTGCGCCCGCAGGTTTCGGTAATTTCCACACCCTTTAACTTAAAAAGCAATATTAATTCCAATTTCGCAAAAACGAACTAAATTCTATATGAGAATGTTTTAAGATATGAGAGACAAGATTCTCCAGCTTCTCAACAAAATAGTATATTATGAAAAAAATGTGGTAAACGTCACTTGAGTCACGTGTTTATTTCGCACGAACGGTGCGCAGCGGAGCGAGTGTTTAATAAATCAGTGACTTAAAAAGCTTACCAAACGTGTTACCTATACTTTTTCTACGACCGTTAGTTTTCGGATACGTTTTTGCAAACAACAGAACTGATAAATGTCAAAATTCAAGCCGTGCTGTAAAATCTCCGAAAATATACGATTGCTCCCAAACCCGTGTGGTAATATCTCCGAAATGTCAGAACTGGGTCGGATCCGTGGACAAGAAAATCACGTGGTAGAATGACGTTTCCCGCACGCTCGATCGGTGTATAATAATTAGGTATTTTACGGAAGGGAGTCGAAAAGCCCTAATATATACACAATTCATTTACAAATTTCTCATCTAGATTATTTCTAAGTCTGGGAATTTGAAATAAAATTTTTGAGTAAAAGTTACAACGAGTAGTATCTTACTTGAAAGCTCATTTTATTGCCTTTATTTTGGAAGTGACAAATTTAAAATGTGTTGCTATATTTACTTAGAACATATTTGACTTTGCACTAGATTTGTTCAATAACTTGAATTTTGAGAATTCTAAAATTTCTGCCGTTGACAGTTAAGGCTTCTGGGTTGGTTAGTTTTGAGTAGTACTTGTTACTTTTTTTGGTGAAATATTGATTCAGATATCGAACGAAATTATTTACAAAAGTTATTTAATTCTCTCTTTCACTACGTACTTTAATATTTCAACAAAAATGTAAAAAAAAAACATATCTTGTCAAAATGTCAAGTCTAGTGTAAAGTCAAATCACAGCCAGGTAATGGTTAGACAATTAAATGGATTGGGAAAAGAGTGGCAACTCGGCTTTATTTTTTGGGGTCATTAGAGGCCTGTTATTTACATGCCTTAACCTAAAAATTTTGCTAATTTCAATTGAATTACTAAAACTTGTCGTATATTCAGTAGAGTTTGGTCAACCACTGGTATATGATATTATTTAGTTTACCAAGAAATTATTTATTTAAATTTTATTAGCAACAACATACTTCATAGACCCAAAATGAAAGATTCCTATAACCTTTTAGTAGAAGAAATTGCCCAAATTCAAAAAATCCTGCTCCAAAATTTAATAAATATTTGAAATGAGTTCCTTACCTCTCACATTTTGCTCACGAATTTGTCCCGCATGATAAACTTGTTTTTTACTATCTAAACTATTTTTTTTTAATTTTAAAATCTAAAATATTTTTTCTGTATGCACACCCTTAGGAAAAATTTTATATTTTATTTAATAAATTGCTATATACCCAATACCGCCGTTATCCTTGGAAAGAATTCGATAGTTGAAATCTCGCATCATGGGAAACATGCGATAACACGAAAAGGAAGTCTTCCATTGTTTTGTCAAGATGCAAACAAAAACAAAACAACTGAACAATTTACCAAAATAATGTTGCCGAGTATTCGCGTGTATTTATAACCGAAAATTTATATAAATTAACAAGGTCGATTCTATTTTAAACTAGTTGTCTCTTATACGTCCATTAATGTAACAATTGCTATCTCGCGTGAGGATTTTTTACGCGTCTAGAGTTTTCGATTTGTGCAGCAAACGATCGTAAGGATGCGGGGAATATGAAAATAAGCGGTGAGTTGAGGATTTTACGTGGGAGCTGCCCGTGTGCATGTGAACATAATCGCGTTTAAATTTGTTTAATATTTTAAGTGCCTACCTCATTTATAGGTCGAGAACTTTATAGAGTTTGAAGAGAAGTTAGATTGTTACATTTTACCGTATTTTGGGTTATGGTTATAGACCAAGCCGGTTTACTAGAAATGAGTAAACGAGCAAAAACAAATAACAAATTCGCCATCATATTCAATTTTCCAAATTAGCCGGCTTGGTTTAAAACAAACTTCTTTTTGGTAATTTTTGATTCGTTTTTACTATCTACGTTTTTTATAAACTGATTTGAGAAAACTAATTGAACCCGAAATCAGGTATAGCCTCTAACACATGAGCAAAGGTGCACAAACACATTCGCATACCACTAACCTAGTTTCTCGAATGTTAAAAACAAGCTTGCAGTTAATCAGTAATAAGTATGACAATTTCTTAAAATAATATTCGCCTGATAATATGTAAAAAAACAACAAAAAATTACAATTCAATAATACCCGAACCAATTTTTTTTTAATTGCGAGCAATAATGGACAGTACAGCAACAAATTATTCTTAGAAAAGTTAATCATTATTTTCCAGTCATAAATTTGGTATCAACTTTCTTTTGTGGCACAAATGTAGCTAGGTTAAAATTATGCTATTTATAATTATTCATTTACATATGTTTTTTATTTTTTATTATTCGAATAAGAAAGAAGAAAATATCAAGGCGCTCTTTGTAGGAATTAAATTCTTCAAAACAGTTTGCGGACATTGCACTTTTGTATTATTCTGTGACGTAAAATTTTATAATCAATATTAACAATATAACAATATTAACCTTGTACTTGTATTTTCCTTTACTTCGAATTAATCACACTAACCGTCCTTAAATATTTCTACATATATTCTTATAATATTTACTGACAATTAATCAAAAATCGTAGTTGATGGTCTTTTTCGAATCAGTGAGGGCCCTAATACCTAGGCCCCAAAAAATATACGAGATAATCAGATTCGTCGTAAAAATAACAAGCCCGGTCAGCATCATTATTTTTTCGATTCTATAGGTTTCTTTTTCTTTTATAGCGGTTTTATCGATATTCAATAAAAATTTGCATCGAGGGACGCAGTATATAATGATTAGGACGTGATATACCTAAGCATTTTCGAGAAAAGGAAAAGCTCTCTCAAAACGCATCGGGAACGAATGATAAGGATGAAAGCCCAAATCTCTGCTAAATTCAGGTTAATGGGCAATTAAGCGGAGGCTCATATGCTTTATTAAAATGAATCCCAATTTAAATTTGACGAGATTATTTCGGAAGCTGCCGCATCTTTACAGGCCTAATTAAAAATTGGCCACTTCTTGGGACTATGGACTTGGGATATGGTGGTGACTGAATTACGGCTGAACTAATTTGCGAAAGCCAGTCTAATTGTTCACCATGCAAGAATAAAAATTGGAAGCCAGAACGTAATATTTATTTTGTTGACAAACAAACGAAGCGTCGATATTTTTGTAAGTTGTATTTATAAAATAGCCGCTGCCCACATCAGCGTACAATTTTATGATCGCATGTTTGGAAATGATAAACTGTGAAACAATAAATTTTCCAAAGGAGTGAACTGATTTATTTTATTTTTATTGTAATGTGAGAAACACGAAAGAGTGAAGAGCTCTGTTTAAAATGGTCAATAATTTCAAACGCAACTGGTTCACTTAATAGCGAAGTGTCAGTTAGCGGTGTTTAGCCGCTAAGTGCATTAATGGGAAAGAACCAGCGATATTACTAAAGCATTCGACTATGTGGACCACTCTACTCCAAAAAAAAAATATATTACAATTTTGACATCTTGGGCCGAAGCCTATAATAAAACTTCGAGTACATTAGCAGTGAGAAATGGGGTTGTACAGGGCTCAATAATGGAACCTACCCTTTTTCTCATATACATCCACAACCTTCCTGAATCCCTTTTGAATGGTTGGCTGGCGTTGTTGTAGCATATTATGGATAGCACATCATGCTCTAATTGGCTCCCACTTGCTTTATGGTGTGATAAACTGGTGCCAGGCGCCCGGTGCAGCAAGAGTTTTTGGCCTACAACGTAGGGTAATTACAATAATCACAAACTCAAACACGGAGAGGATGTCAGATCTAAATTTTCGGAGCTTAAAATTCTTACACTGCCAAGCGCTTATATACTTAAGTGTCTCCTTTACGGTTACGAGAATCAAACAGATTTTTTACATGTGAATAAAGGTCACGGAATAACTACAACTTCAAACCTGATTTCTTCCAGCTTCATGCAAGTGAACTAGGTTCAAATTGTTTAATAAACTTAAGCCCGGGACAAAACAACGCCCAATAAACAGGTTCAAAAAATTAGTCAAAGATTTTTTAAAAAAGCAATCATTTTACAGCTTGGAGGAGTTTAAAATTAAAAAATATCATGAAATGTTACCTAAAATTCATTTCTCTAGAACTGAAGTTTAAGTTAGACTATAATTCTAGCAGCAAGGTCTCGAAGCACAGATTTTCCTTGTCAATGAAAATACCGCTCATTAAGTTTGTATTGCGATATAATTGAACAAAGCACCATTAGATGACAGCCACTGTAGCCTGTTTATTTTATGTGTATTAATTCAGCATTAAACAAAGATTATGTTACCGGTAATTCACACCTCGTCGCCAGACGAATTACGAACTTTTCTTTTCATCTCGTTACTTATTCACAATCCAGGCACCAGATGTTTCCGCTAAAAAATTACGTACCGCCCACGACTGACAAAATGCTATATGGGTGCTTTTAAAGTTTAGGTCTCCTTAATGGATATTGAACAGGGATTTCGCTTTACCTTGTTCCCGTTTGGTCGTTAATTTGGTTGGGCTTAATTGTATAGACCGTGGGCGTTATTAAACGGACTGAATTGGACATTCCCCGAGCTAAAGTCAACCCATGTCCCAAAATTGCTCAATTGTCATATATCGATCGCAGATCTTGCCTTTTTCCGTGTTATATTAATATGATTCCCGAAGAAGTAAAAAGAATCATCAAACAAGACTGCTTCTGGGAAATCTCACAGAAATGGAAGATATCAGAAATATGATTTAGGGCCTCAGATATCTAACCTAATACCACTCAAAAACATCTGTTAATGTTCACAAAGAAACCAATGTATTCTGTAGAAAATCCTACAACAATGGAAGAACGTCGAATGTTTATGATAAATTGGTAATAATTATATTATCCCAATGTTTGGCCGATTAGAAACCGTTCGTCCGTCAGTTATTGATTTCGCTATTCAAGTAAGACGCTAAACTAAGTTGGCATCGAGCAACGTTATCCGATAATGTCTTTTCTACCCGTATAGAGAATTTTATTTTTACATCATATCAAGCACTTGATTCTCGGAATCTAGTTTGTGTGAAATATTGAAAAGAGAGGTACTTTCATTGATGTGAAGTTTAATGTTCGCAAAAACTGCTGAATGTTCGACAATCATTTTACAATACAAAATCTTTAAAAAATCTAGAATTCTAGAATTATTTCAAAAACATAGAAAATCGGTACCATTTTTTTATAATATCCATCCTTAGAAAAATTGCTATTTCGGAATATACTCGAAAATGATATGCATTACCCACCCTGCGTTCATTTGCCAAATAACCACTTTTTATTTACAATTTTAAGCGCAATAGAATAGAATAGAATAGAATTTATTGACCACGTTTTGTTCTTACAATTATGGCAAGTCATAAATACCATAGGTAAAAAAAATATGTATATAAAAAACAAGGCCATGAATAAATTATATTAAAAGTGTGTAAATGATATAAAACAGTGTATAATACGTAAGAACAGGACAGTGTATATAATAAAGTACACGACGTTTATATAAATAAACAAAAAGAAGCAACATCAACAAAATTCAGTCACAGCGGGAGTACTCATGTATTCCCCGACCGAGGAAAGGTTAAGATGATTTATTTAAATTTTCTATTACTTAGAAATTTCACGTTAGCTGGTAGTTTATTGTACAAGTTTAAGTTTAGTGAATTTTTTTGACTTTTTGTATATTTGAATCTTGAAGCACGAAGTAGCTTGTTATTTCGAGTTAAATAGTCATGGTAAGAGGAGTTCTTACTGAAGCTGTCTATGTTTTTGTGTATTTCTAATAATTGATAATAAATATACAGACAAGGAGTGGCATAATTTCCAGCTTCTTAAAAATTGGTCGACAGTGCTCCAGATAACCTGCACCGGCAATCAAACGAACAACTTTCTTTTGGAGTTTAAATGCCTGGTCTGCTGTGACAAAATTACCCCAGATAACTATGCCGTAAGTTACATGAGAGTGAAAAAAGAAAAATAGGTAGGCAATATGATAGCGCACGTCGCATTTGAAGCTAACATTAAACAGACGCGTACAGTGATAATAGGTGAAGTAGTAAAGTAGTTCAGTAGACATTTATTCACTAATAAAGGATAGTTTCGTCAGGAAAAATAGCAATATGTCTAAATATTTTTGAAAATTATGAACATAAAAATATTATATAAAACAAAAAAAGAATATATTACATAAAAAGACCAGCAAACAAATAGCCAAAGCGTGTCATTTGTTCATAAGATTTTCGTATTCAGGTTATTTGTCAGTAAAGGTTTTCAATTTTTTTTTTAATTTCCTTTGGCTCACGTTCTCATTTCGGATTTACATACAATTTTTGCCAGGAATAACAATGGGATTTTTTATAGCAACAGTTATTACATTCTTTTAACTGAAAGTTACTTTTGTTTCTTTTCGAGTATGAATGAATATAAGATCTTGTCTACAAGTTTTTCTTATTTTTATGTATGTATTAATATTTTAACTACATTAATTGCTGTCAGAGTTATACTAATGAGTAGTAAATTTAAGAGGGGCGGTCATTTTAGGAATATTTCAATGTTAATATAGCAAAACATGAACTATTAAGTTTTTCGAAACAGTTTATCAGTCGATCACATCAACTGACAGTCAAGTTCTGTATCTAGAAATTTTTACATATATCATCTTGGTCTATTTTTACACTTAACACATCTAAAGAACTTATATATTGGCCTGTGAATCCAACTACTAGTTTTTTTTATTAGTTATTTAATATAATGCGGTTTTTTCCACAGTAGGTGTGACGATTACAGTATTTATTTATATATTGTATTTTTTTTATATTATATATATATATATATATATATATATATATATATATATATATATATATATATATATATATATATATATATATATATATATATATATATATGTATTTACGGGATTTACGACCCGCCGCTGTCCCCAACCGCAACAATGGGAAAACTTATGTTAATACATTCGGCGACCAAACACAATAACCAAAACAATACGTTATAAAAAATACTACTTGTGAGCGTATGTGAATAAGTTTCACTTATCGGTAGCATTATTGGTAACATAAATATAACGAGAATGTAGATAATAATTAATGAGTCTTAATAAAAATGCGGATTGCTAAAAAGAGTCTAAACGATTTGGGTCAACACTGTTATCAATTTTTCGGCAAAGTAATCGATCGCATCTCAGAGGCGTTGAGTGTTTCGTAGGTTTTTTTTGTTACGGATCAGTTGGCATGTGTAGACGTTAATAATTGGTGCAGTCAATTTTAAATGTAAGTACATATTTTAATAAAATAAATAGAAATATGCGCACACGATAATTACTACAATTAAAATTAGGCCTGTTGTTAGTTGGATTGCGTTTGATTTTTGGATTTTTTTAGTGAACCGAAATGGGTACCTAACCAATAATTTTCATTCTCAATTTTTTTGAAATTAACTAATTGGTATCTAATGATCAAACCAATCATGTAAAATAGTTTTCCCAAAGTCAAAAAGTTGTAAATGTTTGATTAACTTAGTAAATAGAACAAACGATAATATAACGACAGCTAACGTAAATCGTAATTAACTTTTTTGGAGCAAAAGTAATTTCGAAAAATATCGTTAATAAAACTATCAATATTATGTTGCGAACGTGGTGAAAGACGTTACATTATATCTTAAACATAAATTATAAGGTTGTGAAAATTCAATAAAATCTTTTGCTTTGTTTATGCGGTTGAAACTGAGTGTATAACTCTTAACAAAAAAAATATTAGACTGTTTATTCCACATCATTCGACTTTTATAACAATAAGGAATTTTGTCAAAGAAACTTCCACAGGCTACTTTAATGCTTTTTACAAAACTTCTGGCTTCTGGCTTGTTAGAGGGAGGCGGAGCTAAATGAGCGGCATAAACATCGTCTCGGATGACTGATTCCAATGTTGGTGACAGGTACAGACCTGAGTCGCGGTTAAGATTGTTAGGCTGTTTAAAGTTCTTCTGCCAACGAAAAATCTGAGAGTCTATAGAAATCTTTAAACAAACTAACAATCTTAACCGCGATTCAGGTGGTTACCTGTCATCAATATGTCAGTCTCATCCGAGACGATGTTTATAGCCCTCATTTAGCTCCGCCTCCCTCTAACAATATATAAGCAGTTACAGCTCTGAAGCTCTGAAGGAGCCAACAGGATGATTGGCGAAACGTTAGCAAGTTTGACTCTGCAAAATTTTGTAAAAAAAATAAGTATATTATTTTGCGCAGACCTAAAAATTGTCGACATTTGATGTACCATAAATTAAAAGTGTCCTTTTCATTGAAATAAATCGAAAAATTAATTTTGTAGGACTTTTATCACTTGCAATGTTTAAGAAATAGCTGTACTATCCCCCTTACCGCCTATCGCTCTCCCGTGTTTTGCGCGAGAAAATAAAACTTCTGAATTTCTGAATCCAAGTGAATCTAAAATTATATGTATATTACTGTATAGTTTGACCAGAATTATAGTGCTTTTACAACCGACCCCGTCATTGACTTTGCCTACTGTTTATTACTCCAAAACCGCAGCCTCTTATAGAACCAAGATCGAAAGAAATTTATCTACCTACACTCACAAGCGGGATATAAATATGTTTTCAATCTTTTTTGCCCAGCAATTCTTGAAACATGTACATAAAAAAACTAGTACAAAACAACAATTTATAGCGTTCTATATCACTTGTTTTTATTGCTGCTCCTACTTCCCCTTCTGAATTTCTTATAAAATTGTAAACATTCAAAACAATTTGTTTAGCATCCGAAGACAAATAAATTCTTTTTTTATTTGCTGCTTTAGTTCATCTTCTAAATTGTCATTAGGTTCGACTACCATCTCCACTTTATCTTCATATTCTGCGCTGGCTTCCATCTCTTCTTCTCCACATTTTAAAGTGTTAAAAAACAGGAACCTTCAAAGAATGTTTAATTGCAAGGTTCTAATAAATATTTATCTGTATTCTTATGACGTCCTTCATCTACCGCGAATATAATCTATAATCTTAACAAAGACTAGTGTTATTTACAAATTGAAGAACTATGTAAAAGACACAAAAATACAAGAAGAGGAATGTTGTTAATCGACAGGCACACAAGACAAAAATAATTATTATCAAACTTACCTGTAAGATAAATAGAGTACTTACTTACCTTTACCCTTTGCACTATCCAGCTAAAACAGCCTCGCAGGGTCAAAGCTCGATAATCAGGTACATAAATACGTACTTACTGGAAGGATGACAGTCAAATACCTAGTAATATATACGAACATATTGCCATTTAGATTAAACTCTTAAGAGCCATACATATCACCTAATACATACATAATACATATCACCTAATGTTAAAATAAACGCTTCTACTTATTCGAAAATAAAGAAAAATGAAAATGAAAATTTCATGTTTTTACAAGTATTCGTTCGTTATTGATGGTACAATATCTTTTCTCATAGGGAAAAAATAACTCAATCGCAGTTGTCTTTCATCTGAAAAATATGTCTCAAATTATCTTCTTTTCTCTTTTTGGTATAATGTACTGAATACTCAAATGCAAAAAAATATAAATATATCAAATTGCTAAATTATCTCAAGAAATTGCTAATCTAAAAATATGCGAAGATTTGATTTATTTTTTAACTATTTAGGAATATAATTGCGTTTCCCTATAACAAAATAAAATTGAATTGATTTCTTTCAGTGATCCAAATTTGTTTCCTATTTGAACAGGAATTTTTTTTGTTGATTTTATCGAGGTGTATCGACTCATAAAATCCTGCTGCAATACACTCTGCATGATAACATGCAGTAAAAAAAAAGATGAAGCATAGAATTTTCCAGTATAAAATGTTGTGTCTAGGGAGTGGAATGCTGGATCGAAAACTGGATGGCATCCAATCTGTTTGCTATGATCAGCCAAGAAAACTATTGCGTTTTTTAAAACAGAAACAAAAAATATAACATAACTCATAAATGTTAAATATATTAATGAGTAAAAAAAAACAAACCTCAATTCATGGTAAGAAATAAATAATTTTGAAACTACTAAAATCAACAGAATAAAACATAAATTATTGTTGTATGTATAAAGGCTATTTTCAATTCTCGTGTTTATGTATGTTTTGTAAAAATCAGGACGTTATGTGATAATTCCTGATCCTTGTCTTCGCGCAGAGATGGGTTTTAGATATGAAAAAAAAGTTAGTAAGTAGTAGTAGAATTTCAATATATTTCAGATTCGCATTTTGAACATTATTTTTTTATTACTTTTTGTTGTTTTCGTTGCTGTCTTGTCAATAACTAATACACCGCACCAGTTCTCAGTTTCGATTATTTTTTATTAGTTAAATATAAAAAAATCCTAAATGTCGAGATTTTTTTAGTTGAGCTAGTAAAAGATTTAATGTAATCTTTTCCGTTTCCTAAGTCTTTTCTATATAAAATCTTGTTCCCTGCCTTTTTGCCCTGTTTTCAAAAAGAATAGGTACAAAAATATTATTGACAGTTCTTCTTCTTCTTCTTCTTCTGTCTGATACCTGTGAGTGGAAATTGAGCACATTTTTACCACTAAACCAGCTATTTTAAATTCTTTCAAAACATCAAAAAGGTAAAAATGTCTGCTAAAAATTTGTAATATACATAGTACAATTAAAAATTCAAACAACATTTTATTGGGGTTACCTTAATTTACTTTCTGGTGACGGCTATGGCATAAATGCCTTACTTGAAAGTGTCGTGAACATGAAGAAATTTTAAATTCAATCTCGGTATGAGTCTCAATTCAAATCAATTTAAGTTATATGTATACATAGTGTTTAAATATGCCACGATTAATTTTTGGATAAAAAAATGCCAATTTCCTAAATTTAAAGCCACACACTATATGTATTCATCCGAAAAGAAAATGACTTACCAGTGTAGCTACATTTTAACTAAATATTTTCTCAAAGAAGGATACATGCTCTATGCTCGATTTTCAATAAGTCACAAACATTTTTCATTTGTTTTGTCCAAACCAATAAATTTTCGCAAAAACTAATTTGCAAACAAAAAAAAAACTTCAATGGGCATCGAAACAAGATCGGTATCAATTTGGGCATGCGCACAAGCTTATCGAAATATTCTCAGGCGGCGGTGTTTTGCCGCTCGTCTCAGTTTCCACTTTACTCGATGGTTCGGCTTTTAGAACATAGATGGGGCGGCAAGTAGCGTTCCACGAAATAATAAAATTAAATCGTACCTCTTCACTATTAACTAAGATTATATAAAATTTTACGTTTTTAAATACGTAATCATAAATCGGTTAAATTTACTTACTAAGCAAAAGTCTCAAAAGTGCATTCTATTTGTTTACAATTACTTATTTTTGTAATTTAGTGTCTCTCACACATATTTACACACACACACACTGTTAGATTCTGTATGGTGTAATGTGCTATAAGTGTAGAGTGAATTGTCAAACTTGCAGGTATAAAGATTAATTTTAAACAGCATATCTTGTTTATATATGTAGCCTAATAACCATCAAAGATTTTTACGCCTTGTCACTAATTAATTAAAGTCGATGTAATTTGAATAGGTACACATCATAACCCTAGTCAAAACAACACACATAATAGTATATTATGCAACAAGTGCCGTGAACGGCATTTGACTGACGAGTTTATTTGATACAAGCAGAGCGCAGCGGAGCGAGTGTTTAATAAACGAGTGACTTATAGTATATTGTGTTTATGTATATTAAGTTTACCGGACGTGTTGCATACTATACTTTTTCTACAACCGTTAGTTTTTGGGTACATTTTCGCAAAACACGAATACATTCACTGACATGACCGTCAGAATTGACAAAATCCCGGAAATGTCCGAAGTGGCTCGAATTCATGGGAAACCAAACTGACGTGGTAAAGTGACGCTTGCCGCACGCTAGATCGGTGGGCAATTAGGTATTTTACAGACGGGAGTAGAAAAAAAAGTTTACCGGACGTGTTGCATGTTATACTTTTTCTACGACCATTAATTTTTGGGTACATTTTCGCAAAACAACACTAATACTGACACGACCGTCAGAATTGATAAATGTCAAAATTCAAGGCGTGGGAAATATTTCCGAAAACATCCGATTGCTCCCAAACCTGTGCGGTAAAATCCCGGAAATATCCGAAGTGGCTCGGACCCGCGGGACACGAAACTGACGTTTCCCGCACGCTAGATCGGTGTGTAATTAGGTATTTTACAGACGGGGGTTAGTTTTGGACCATAACCATGTATCATGTACCAGGTAAATAGTCTAAATAGGGTGTAGCGTATTTATCCAAATTAATAAGAAATAGTTGGCACAAAGATGTTGCCAACCTTGGGTTATTTGATAGGCATCGAGATTGTATGACAGTGAGATGTCGGATAAGGAAACGATGACTTTTTTTATCCGATTGGAACTGAACAAATTATCGATTCGGTATCAGAACGAGGTTGTACACGACATCTTGGAAAAGAGGAAGTAACCGTTGACTCACAATGTCGAAAATAGTTTTGAAATATCTCTTGGGTTTGGCTTTTTCATATTTTGTAATCTTCTAATTGGGTATAAAGGAAATGCGTCGTGGTAAGGCACTATGTACATTGTCAAATTTTATCAATCACCACTGGATATCCCATGGAAGGATACAGTTTGTCGTCAGTAATAGATTTGGCCTATAAATTTGCATGTTTGATGACTTGTGTCCACAGGCCGATAGAGACGCTATAGTCTGAGATACACTTTACCCGACTACGCAAACGATAAGAGCGTAAAACGGGGGCGAAATCCCGTATACCTGAGCGACGCGAAGACGACGCTTGCGTCCTACGAAAGCCGCGAAAAAGGGAATGATATCATTCGTGTACGTCACAGTTTCGCGTGCTTTCACCGTGAAAACTCACGAGGGGAATATTTCGGGTGATGTTTACGTCGCGACGCACGGTCTCCCTCTTCAATTAAACATGTCACATTATTAACTGACGATATGTTATGGTGACGTCGTGAGTCCTGCGACATATCCCGAGTCATTTAGCAATATGAATTAATTATATGGATTGTTTCTTTGAAACAGGTGAGAGTACGTCACACGCCGATTATCAAATAAAAAAACGTCCCGAAATGATTTTTTTTGTGTACGATTTATTACGCCTAAATCTTGAAACTTTTTAAAGAATTTTAATTCTGTCAAAAGACAATTCAATTATTATTCAAGATATGCAATTGAAATTTTCTAACCTATTAATGTTTTTTATTTCATTGAATGTTGAAAAATTAACCGCAAACAAATTAAAAATATTATAAATATGTAGATTATATTTACATAAAATATTTAAAACTAAATTTATTTAAAAGGTATTTAACTTTAAACAAGACAACAACAGCAAGAACATTTGTTAATTTTTAGATTTTCCAAGTATTTAGGTACCAATATGTTGTTACGGAAACTTATCATCTTATTAATAACAAAAATGAAAAAATCTTTGAGAATTATCATTTTTTATGCATCGTTCTTAAAGGGCGATGTTTGGCGATTAATGGTGCTCTAGTTTGATCCTTAGTACTTCCACAAGTTACTAATAATTAAAAACTGGTGACTACAATACTTGCACGCCTGCGATGTTAAAATAAAAATAAGAAGAAAAAGCTTACACAAATAAGAAATATAAATAAATTATAAAATATACAATAAATGAAATTCGAAGCGAATTCCATAGCAAAATCTGGCTTTTAAAATTTGGATCTTAAGAACAACCGATCACACCTAATATTTGTTCAAAAAGTTGCTAGAGACAGTTAGTAAAAAAGTACCGGAACGCTTAAATATTTCAAAAATTGCCAAAGTTGGAACGATAAAATTCAATACTTGGGGGTTTTTGAACATGCACAATTCAAAAATCCTAACAGCAATGTTGTCAGAGTTATCACTTTCACTTTACACATCATAATTTTGTTGAAATAAACAAGTGTAACAACAGGGTATATTTTCGTCACGACTTTCATTTGGGATGAACGTAGCGAGTATTTAATAAAAGAAGGCCTGAAGAAGTTTGTGCTGCATACTATCACTGGGTACATTTTTGTAAAGCAGTGAATATATGTGCTGTTTTGGAAAAACATGATGGTCGTTAAAAAAGTATAGTATGCCACAAAACAACAAACTTCTTCTAATTAGAAGAAAAAATACATGATTTTCATTTGTAGATAATGAAATAAAAATTGTTTATTACCTACCGCTGACAGCAAAAAACAACTACGAGAAATATATGTTTAATAAACAAATAAGGGATGGCAAAAAGGAAAAAACGTTCGCCAATGCTTTATCGCAATAAATTTAGATACCCCGATCAATTCTAAACACATTTTTGCTAAAACGAACCGTTTTCGACAAAAAAGTACTTGTACATGCATCTAATGTCACTTTTTTATTATTTAAATTTATTAAAACGAGTGAAAGCAAAATCTTAGAAGAGATTTTTTGAAAATTGGAAAAAAACTTTTTTTTTCGAATATTGCAACAAGATTTTAGGACAATAAGTTTGTGTGAACTTTTTTACTTATACAAAATTGATAAACGCAATTTTAGTCACGAGTTTCATTTCAATATATTCGTGCTGTGCTAAACATATTCGTGACTAAAGCCTCGTTTTAAATAACTTATCGACCATACCAAACACAAATATTTATATTAGTTTTATATTTTAAGCCCATTCAATAGTCTCAAATCAAGCAGTTTCAGCAACGTATCATTAAAAAATATTTAGTATAAATAAGTATGTTTGTTTTGGGAAAATAAAAAATTATCTAATTGGCCATTCTTAAGAAGTCACATTTTCTTATTACTTTATTTTTTAATAATATTAGAAAATCGTCCTTTTGTTGGCGCGCTAGGCTCATGCTAGTAAAAATAAGTTAAAATGTGACAACGTACAGGACGTGAAACTGGAGCTACTTGAACCGATCCGATGCAGTCCTATCCACTTGAAAATAATGATACGCGCAATACGTGATCTCAACTGAAACTCGATCGGATGGAGAATGTTAAGCTTAACGCCGCCCTTCAGATAGATTGGAACTTAGAGAGCGGATTGACAATTATAAATATAGGCCAAAACATCCTGGACTGAAAGGAAGCAAGATAATCGAATTTTTCTTGGTCTCAAAGTCCAAAATCCAGAATTAGATGAGAATTCTTGAATACCAAATACGACGGATTCTTTTACTTCCTGTGTTGTTCTAATAAAATTCGTATCAAATCATTCATAGGGATTATTTGTATTGTTGTGTATTGAGAACATATTGACTCTTGACAATTTTTTTTCGGAAGTTGCTGGCAATTTTCAATAATTGCACTTACAGTTGTTCTAACTTTCGTCAAACTTATGCAAATAAACAATTTTTTGAGCAGGTTAATTATCAACTATTCAAAGCACTCACAAGTGATGTTCTAGTAGAATTAACTGTCAAAATGAACAACGAATTTTTTTCATATTACGCAGATGGATCTCACGTAACTAAGCAGCAAAAATTTGTTGCCAATTCTACTATACATGAGCTACTTAATATAAATAACACCCCTTATATTATTTTACTGCTAGATTTTATACAAAAATAAATTTGATTGTTTTCGTGGTTTTTTTGCCCTCTTGAAAATGGTTTTCAACATGTTTAAACGGTGTATTTACGTCCAACAAGAAATTTTAGTAGTTCATTGAGTTTAACAAGTATAACATTAATATTCGAATGCCTCAAATAAATTAATCCCACTTCTGCAAGGTTTCCAATATGCTTTTAAAAGTGCAAAAATTAATTTTTAAATCTATATATATATATATATATATATATATATATATATATATATATATATATATATATATATATATATATATATATATATATATATATATATATATATATATATATATATATATGCTCTAGTTTGATCCTTAGTACTTCCACAAGTTACTAATAATTAAAAACTGGTGACTACAATACTTGCACGCCTGCGATGTTAAAATAAAAATAAGAAGAAAAAGCTTACACAAATAAGAAATATAAATAAATTATAAAATATACAATAAATGAAATTCGAAGCGAATTCCATAGCAAAATCTGGCTTTTAAAATTTGGATCTTAAGAACAACCGATCACACCTAATATTTGTTCAAAAAGTTGCTAGAGACAGTTAGTAAAAAAGTACCGGAACGCTTAAATATTTCAAAAATTGCCAAAGTTGGAACGATAAAATTCAATACTTGGGGGTTTTTGAACATGCACAATTCAAAAATCCTAACAGCAATGTTGTCAGAGTTATCACTTTCACTTTACACATCATAATTTTGTTGAAATAAACAAGTGTAACACCAGGGTATATTTTCGTCACGACTTTCATTTGGGATGAACGTAGCGAGTATTTAATAAAAGAAGGCCTGAAGAAGTTTGTGCTGCATACTATCACTGGGTACATTTTTGTAAAGCAGTGAATATATGTGCTGTTTTGGAAAAACATGATGGTCGTTAAAAAAGTATAGTATGCCACAAAACAACAAACTTCTTCTAATTAGAAGAAAAAATACATGATTTTCATTTGTAGATAATGAAATAAAAATTGTTTATTACCTACCGCTGACAGCAAAAAACAACTACGAGAAATATATGTTTAATAAACAAATAAGGGATGGCAAAAAGGAAAAAACGTTCGCCAATGCTTTATCGCAATAAATTTAGATACCCCGATCAATTCTAAACACATTTTTGCTAAAACGAACCGTTTTCGACAAAAAAGTACTTGTACATGCATCTAATGTCACTTTTTTATTATTTAAATTTATTAAAACGAGTGAAAGCAAAATCTTAGAAGAGATTTTTTGAAAATTGGAAAAAAACTTTTTTTTTCGAATATTGCAACAAGATTTTAGGACAATAAGTTTGTGTGAACTTTTTTACTTATACAAAATTGATAAACGCAATTTTAGTCACGAGTTTCATTTCAATATATTCGTGCTGTGCTAAACATATTCGTGACTAAAGCCTCGTTTTAAATAACTTATCGACCATACCAAACACAAATATTTATATTAGTTTTATATTTTAAGCCCATTCAATAGTCTCAAATCAAGCAGTTTCAGCAACGTATCATTAAAAAATATTTAGTATAAATAAGTATGTTTGTTTTGGGAAAATAAAAAATTATCTAATTGGCCATTCTTAAGAAGTCACATTTTCTTATTACTTTATTTTTTAATAATATTAGAAAATCGTCCTTTTGTTGGCGCGCTAGGCTCATGCTAGTAAAAATAAGTTAAAATGTGACAACGTACAGGACGTGAAACTGGAGCTACTTGAACCGATCCGATGCAGTCCTATCCACTTGAAAATAATGATACGCGCAATACGTGATCTCAACTGAAACTCGATCGGATGGAGAATGTTAAGCTTAACGCCGCCCTTCAGATAGATTGGAACTTAGAGAGCGGATTGACAATTATAAATATAGGCCAAAACATCCTGGACTGAAAGGAAGCAAGATAATCGAATTTTTCTTGGTCTCAAAGTCCAAAATCCAGAATTAGATGAGAATTCTTGAATACCAAATACGACGGATTCTTTTACTTCCTGTGTTGTTCTAATAAAATTCGTATCAAATCATTCATAGGGATTATTTGTATTGTTGTGTATTGAGAACATATTGACTCTTGACAATTTTTTTTCGGAAGTTGCTGGCAATTTTCAATAATTGCACTTACAGTTGTTCTAACTTTCGTCAAACTTATGCAAATAAACAATTTTTTGAGCAGGTTAATTATCAACTATTCAAAGCACTCACAAGTGATGTTCTAGTAGAATTAACTGTCAAAATGAACAACGAATTTGTTTCATATTACGCAGATGGATCTCACGTAACTAAGCAGCAAAAATTTGTTGCCAATTCTACTATACATGAGCTACTTAATATAAATAACACCCCTTATATTATTTTACTGCTAGATTTTATACAAAAATAAATTTGATTGTTTTCGTGGTTTTTTTGCCCTCTTGAAAATGGTTTTCAACATGTTTAAACGGTGTATTTAC